ACTCACCAACCAAACATTATTGCATGTTATTCTACCATATCTATCAGGTTCACTGTTTATGTAGATTGGGATAAAAGATGATCTTGCCCCAGTTTTGTGTCACAGTGTTCTTTCCTTCTCTCATTTATAATTTACAAGCTATGTGATAACATATTGTCACTACGTTACCTTTTCAAGGTTTCTAATTACAGTTTCCAGTTCATTTCTAAATGAGAGTTGCCATTCACAACTGCACAATTTTGCTTTCTGCCTCTGGTGTTTATATCTCAGTTACTATTTTTTAGGTTAAGGAGTTTACAGGAAAACGTTTACAATAACATTTGTAGTTTTCTGATGGAAGAGGTGGATGAAAGAGAAGGTAATTGGTGGAACAGTTGTTCTCCAGAATCAGTTCAGAAAGTACATGATAGTGGTATACAGAGACAAATCTCTGGGTGGTTTGAATTACTTTATTTGCTTTGTCAAAATAGTGTTAAAAGAGCATATGATAAATTGTGTCATGAAGTGCTCTTCTGTTTAAGTAGCCACATTTAAGTAACTACAGAGATACTACTGTTTCAACTCCTAAAATGGGGGAGGAAGACATGTTGACTGGTGGGAGAACATGCTATATAAGAAACTATTTCTAGAACATGGTTAACTCTGTGAAGGAAGTATTGAGAGCATGTGAATTTGAGGATGCTAGTGAAGCCTGCACTGTCCTGTAAGTCATTGCCAGCTGGGTACTTGTAACAGGATTCATGTTTCTAAAACTGTAATGGCTCAAGTCTCTAGACATCATGGTACAAATTCTGATACTGATCAGAGCTCAACTTTTCTTCTAGGCTCCAACTTGGCAGGCAGGTTTTCCATGACATGTTCAGTGACCCATGTCAAGTCATAACACTATGAATGAGGGATACTTTTTAATATGTTTAATATCTAAGAATAAAACTTCTGAAATCTTGTGTTTCCAAAGAGAAAATCTTTGCTTATTCATGAACATCACTCCTTTTTGCTCCCCCTGGCTTTCCTAAGGAAAAAGCCTCCATTTCACTGCAAAGTAAAATGGATCCATAAGGAATTATATTAGCCTTCAACTTCACTAAAACCTTTATGCTTTATTTAAATTTCTTTCCTTGGTGAGGCTTTTTGCCCACTGTGTATAACTATTGTATAATCACCTTTTCTGTTGGTGAAAGGTGATTTCGTTTCTCTCTCCATAAAAATTTAAGAAAACCCCACAATTTGGTCTTGAATCTCACATGATTCTTGCAAGTCCACAGACCATTTCTGGGCAGGAAAACTTTTAGGGTATCAGGATCAGAGCAAGGAGTTCTTGGTAAATAGAGATGAATTTCCTGTTTGCAGTCTGTTTCTCACTTTTATTCTGTATTCATAGCTAATACAAAATAAGAATGACATGCCAAATTAATTCCTGTATGAATTCTAAACAATGGGCTTTAGCAAGGAAAGATAAATATTCTTAGTATTGAAGCTGGTTTAATATTATAGCCCAGATTAATTCATGTTCAATAATTTTCAGGATTCATGGGTATCACGATATAATTTTTGGCAGTGTAAAACAAACCAGTTATTTAAAAAGATACATCAAGCTTAAATGTGAAAGAGGGAAATAAAGCATGAGCTGTACAAAGGAAAAGAAAAACTGCTTCCAATGCATTTTATTTACCCTCAGTGCCTCTGCTTAGAATTTCTCCAACAAGGATAATAACATTCCATTTCATACTTCTTTGTCTTCTTTTTTAAACTGGAAGATTTTTGGAGCAGGAACCATTTTCTGGTCTGTGTGTCTATTAAAATACCAGATAATTGCAGCTCCCTATTCTGTAACATAAACTGTTAAGTTCCTGGAAAGGAACCCTGATACTTAAAGGACCTTTTTGTCTCTGGGTAAAATTCCCATTAAGTAACTTGTGCCTGTTAAGGGCAGGCAGAACAGGCTGTTTTTAACTAGAACAGTTTTGTTTAGCCTCAAGTATCTGAACACATCATGTCATGTTTCAGTATTTTCATTTAGAATGTGGAAGTGCTGGGAGTTTAGTGGTTTCTTTTTGTGCCAAAGGGGTGTTTGGATTGAGACAGTTTGGACTGAGGCTTTTCCAGGTCATAGTCTGACATACAAACATGACAACATCACAAAGCCTGGGCCTTGCAAACATTGCTTAGGACACGCTAGATTGTCTAGTTGTCTTTGCGTTGATTTGGGTTTCTTATTTCTTAACAAAACTTCTAGTGTGTAAAAAGAGCCATTCACGTGTCTCAAAGGTTGTGTGGGAAATATTTTAAGTAGGATAAAACCCATTAATTTTATATATAATTCAGGATAAGCCATTGAATTCAAAATTCTGGGATTGAATTCAAACCCCAGAAGAAGCATTTGTGAATTTATGGGGGGTTGAGTAGATTTGGATTTTGCACCCTAGTTCCCAGTTAAGGAGCCTTAGTTGTACCAGTGGTGTAATGGGAAGGAAAAGATCTGTTGCAAATCACACAATATCTTTTCTAATTTTTCTGTTCCCGTGCATGATCCCTGTTACCCAGAATCTTCCCTCCAGAGTACACAAGAAACATGTGTCTGTAACTACAAGATGTTCTAAAATCTGCCTCTGTGCCTAGCTGTTTGCTGCCTTGCTATGTTTTTAACTTTTAACAAGACACTGTCAAATCCCTTTCCATATTGCAAATAAAATCTATTTCAAAGTTGGCACCCAACTAGATCAGATACTTTAGTATCCCAGGTGCCTGTGTTTTGGTTTTTACATGAATGGGCAGCTGTAAGGCTTCAGGAAGAAAGAAAGAGGATGTGTTTTAGAGGATGTTTTAGTACTATTGTATGAATTAAGTTTGACAAATTTGGTAATAATGAAGCATTTTGGGTAGAAAAATACGTAATTTCATACTTATATCTGTGTTTGGACTTACATGTGTAAATATTTGCTTTGAGCTCAGCAAGGAGATTTGAATAAGTCTTAAAAGAATTTTATATCAAGTTTCTTACACTTGTCATCTACCTCATGAATATCCCAACTTATGTTTGATTTCTTTCTTGGAGGATGGTGTGGTACTGGTTCACTGTAACGCAGGAGTCTCCCGTGCAGCAGCTGTAGTCATTGGTTTTCTAATGAATTCAGAAAGACTGAGCTTTGCCAGAGCCTTCTCCTTGGTGAAAAACGCAAGGCCTGCAGCTTGTCCAAATCCTGGCTTCATGGAGCAGCTTCACAAATACCAAGAACAGATTTTAAAGGCAAATGGAAGCATAAACAGTCATGACTGATCCAAAGGGAGAAGTGAAATAACCTGTTTTGACTAGAGAGGAACTGTTGGATGTACTTTAACCTGTCATTTTGAAATCCCCTTTTACATGTGAATTTCCAAGTCTTTATATATTTTTTTCTTACCCTCCTTTGACCCTGTTTTTTTCCAGCATGTCATCAAAAGGCCAAATGGTGTTGTACTGACTTCAGAGAAGTTTTGCCTAAACCCAGAGCACTAACAAAAAACTACAGCTCCGTTGTTCTTGAAATACTAGAAAACAATAGGTTTGCTTACTGAACCATCAAAAAATGCAGACAAATAGAGAAAGGAAGTAAAATAACTGAGATAAGTTGCTTTCTTTCCAAATCGGTGTATTCCTAGTTGGTTGTAAAATCTAGACAATAAAACGTTCATATAATGAACGACCTTAATATTGGATTTTAAAATTATTTTGCAACTATAAATGATATTATTGAATTTTGTAGACTAGCCAGTCTTTTTTTTTTTTTAATTAAAACGATGGTCTTTTGAGGATGCTCAAAATGTATAGGATGTTTGAATGCTTTGTGTATTTATATTGTTTCTCATCTAGTAGTGATTTGATTTGCATTAACATGACAAGTCCATGGAACTAGTGGGGTTTTTTCCTGTAAATCATTTCAGTAGAGATACAAAAAATTTTGATAATGATCTGTCTCTGCTCATGCTACCATCTTTTTCTTCACATCTGGACCTCACTTGCTGTCTCCTCACTCCATTCCACACCATATGTAAAAAACAGACCTCATAGGGTCTGTAATTTTGGTAATTTTGACCCTCCTGAGAGATCCCAGGCTGAAATCCTCTACAAAATTTTAATAGTATTTTGTGGCTCTTAATGATTTGATATATTAATATGCAACAAAATAAAGAGAACACTGTGTTTGGATAAATTGTGTGCTAAAGTGATTTTTTTAAAGTTTGGTTTCAAGTTTGGCTTTCTGTCCTGGTACCAGTAGTTTGAACTGTACCGCACCATTGTGTTTGAACCACCACCTCTGCTGTTCTCAACATGAATTGCTCATGCTCAAGAACACGTAGTGACAGGACACGGGGGAATGGGTTCAGAGAGAGAGAGTAGGTTGAGATTAGATTATTTACACCGAGGGTGGGGAGGCCCTGGCTGCTCAGAGAAGCAGAGTAAGCATCCATCGCTGGGAGTGTCCAAAGCCAGGCCGGGCGGGGCTTGGAGCAACCTGCGATAGTGGAAGGTGTCCCTGCCCATGGCAGGGGCTGGATGAGCTTTAAGATCCCTTCCAAGCCAACCCATTTCGTGATTCTATGCTAAACTTTAATGCGAGGATTAGGCAACCCCACTGCATCTGATGGCTGTTGGCGGTCACTGATCCCCCGTGTCCGAGAGGACCAGCTCACGGCGTTGTCCAGGGGGACGGGTGTGGCGGCGGTGCTGGCAGCCTGGGCCGGGACTGACAGCCCTTTCCCTGGGGAGGCTGCTCTGGGTTCCCGGCCCTTGCGAGGTAACCGCGCTTCCCTCAGCTCTGCTCACCTCCTGCCCTTTCTCGGAGGCACCGGTTGCCATAGGGTGCTGAGGCCACAGGCCGGCACAAGGTAACTCCTGACCCCGACAGCCTGACGGCCTGGCAGGGCTCCTCCCTCCCTCACACCATGTCCGGGGACGGGTCGGAAGTGACGGTCGGCAGGAAGCTCCGTGCTTTTTGTGCCGTTTGAAAGCGCCCGGCGGAGCCGCCGCCGCCTCCTCTTTCCCGCCATCCGGCCCGACGTGGCCGCCTTCGCCATGGAGCTGCCGCCCGCAGGTGAGCTGGGCCCAGGGCTCCCCCTCACCCCAAGCGCGCCGCTTTGCTGGGCTCCGCTCAGGGGGGCGCGGCTGCCCGGCGGGTCCCTGTGAGGGGAGCGGGGCCGGAGCCGACGCCCTGCTCGCTCTAGGCGGGGCAGTGTGGGAGACGGCGCCGGTGAGGGGCGGTTCGCGCCGCGGTGATGCGGAAGGAGAGCTGGTTAAACCGATCGGCTGCCGCTTGTAGTTGCGAAAAATGCGGAAAGTGAGGTTGTGGTAAACTGCGCTTAGCTGTAAAATGAATGATTAAGCCGCCTTTGAGCTCGTCAATACCTGTAAATATCTCAAAGGCGGGTCGCAAGGGCATGGTGCGCAGCGGCTGGGCGAAGAGTAATGGCCGTAAACCAAAGCACAAGGAGTTCTATCTCAGCATGAGGAAAAACTTATCTACACTGAGGGTGGCCGGGCAGTGGAAGAGGCTGTGGAGTCTCCCTTTCTGAAGACATTCCAAACCCATCTGGAGATGTTTCTGTGACCCTGCCTTGGCAGAGGGTTTGGGCCAGATGATCTCCACAGGTCCCTTCCAACCCTAACGATTCTGGGGTTCTGTGTTCTTAATCTCTTGCTGTATCTTGTATTATGTCTCTTTAATAGAGCCCACAATGGAAAAAGTTAGGTTGTTTGTCTTTTTAATTTTAAAATTTTGTTTTCAGGTGCTGAACCAATGACTCTAGGCTCCCCAACATCTCCAAAGCAAGGAACTAGTGCTCAATTCCTGCCTGGGTTTTTGATGGGTGACTTACCTGCCCCAGTGACTCCGCAGCCACGTGCTTTATACGGCCCTTCAGTTGGTGTAATGGAAACAAGGTCTCCACTACTAGCAGGTCAGAATTTGTTAAATGTTGGAAAATTGTCCTGAAAAATAAAAATTGGTTTGTCTCATCATTCTGCATGACTGTTGCAGATTTAAATCCTTATAGATTTATTTCTTTTTGTAAGTAAACTCCACTGATTGAATACACTGAGTTCACCACTTATTCAATTATAATAAATGTTTTAAATATGGCAGTTTTGGTATCAGGAAAAGTTTGTTTCACAGGGAAGGTAACATGAACCTCTCCTAATACAGAATCAATTTATATGATTCTTAACAAGTCAATTACACATATATCAATGTTGAAAACAGAGATACCTGTTGGCATACTAAATGCAGCTTGTGCAAACTGCTGTTTTCTTTCCAGAAATTTTTCTATTTCTTTGAATTCTAAAAGGTCACTTACAGATTGTCAAACTTATAAAAACTGAGTGGACAAAACCTGAAAATATACTTCTTAATTAGTATCTAGTGGTTGTAGCTAAAGTCTTGATATCTGCTGTCATTGGACTGGAGTAGTGACTTTTCCTAGCTGTAGATGCTCATTTCTCTTCAACCACCTAATTAATCAGAAGTTCTTACCCCTGTTAGTTTTGTATGTCTGTTTTCTTCTCTGAGACTTAAAATGTTCCATAATTGGAGGTTTGTTGGTCTTCAGCTTCTTGCTCTTTTCTGCCTGGCCAGATGTACTGGGAGCAAACCTCTTATGAAAATATTTATGTAATTGAAGGTAGTCACGTGAATTTCACCAAATTGTTTTTTAATGGGTTTATTACAGCCTCAGGGTATCAATTTTAGGAAGAGGGGCGCCAGTAAAATCCTAACACAGTGATCAAGTACATCACCAAAAATGAAAACCTTGATGGGAGAGTGCTTTACATGATGCACATTACTCCATGTAGCAGTAGCAGTTCTTGTATGTGTTAAACAGTTCAGAGTAGAGTCTTGAAGCTCAGAATTTAGGATTGAAGAGTACTTTGGAAAAGCTTGGTTTCCAAACGTTTTGCAAGTGAAAACTTGATGCAGGCTACTTTTTTTCCCCCCTGGGGTAAAGCCACGCAAAGTGTTAAGGTGCATCAAGTTCTTCCAAGAAGTTTAATTCTCAGTTATACAGGAAGTCCTAAAGTTTACAAAATGGGTGGGCAGCTGGTTTAACTTCATCCTGTCTATATGCAAGCTAATCCCTGCTCTAAAGAGTTTACATTTTATTTAACATGAAATTAGCTGGGAAGCCAAGGAATTTGGGCAGTGGGAATGTAATGGTAATGTGCAATGTCTCTGTGCATTTTGGTATGGCTCTTTAACATGTAGGAAGGATATCTCAATTTTTAAAAATCTTGCTTTTGCATCTGTGCTATAGGCAAGTTAGTCTGAAACAATTCAGATAGATTTCTGGCCTGGCTTAAAATTGAAAGATACAGCCATGCTCAGAACTTCAAAAAAAGAAATGTGAACAGTGAATATAATAGGTTAATAAGAGGTCTGAAAGTTCTAAATGGTACTTCTGTAGGATGCTGTTTGAGACACATGATGCTCCTACCTGGAACATTCAAACCTGAACCGTTTAGTAGGACAGATGGTTTTGTTAACCTCCAGTGAAACAATCAACCACCTCAACAGCAATCAACTTGACAACATGGCTGAATTTATTTTTGAACTTTCAAGAGAAACTAGCACTAAAGCAAAATTACAAGTTTTCTCATGCTCTTCTTTTGTTCCTTTGAATTGCAGGAGGGTCTCCCCCACAACCAGTTGTCCCTTCACATAAAGATAAAGGTGGTGCTCCACCAGTTAGAAGCATTTATGATGAGCTATCTAGTCCTGGGCTTGGATCAACACCTCTATCCTCAAGAAGAGCAGTAAGTGTCTTTGGTACTGGGCTGTTCTTAGCAGAAAAGATGTGAGGCAGCTTACTGCCTCGCTGAATTCTCAAACTTAATTGTATAAACTGCTGTAGGAAAATGACTGGTGACCCTTCAAATCATGCTGTTGCTTAGTCTGGGTTGTTTGGTGTATCTGTTCCTGTTTAAGCTAAACAAGAGCTGTGGTCATGAAGCAAATTCCTGTTATTGCCAATTTTCAGTACAGTAGGAAGTGAAAAATGCAAGTCATTCCTCAGTTATGCTTTGTAATACAAATTTGGTTTGGTTTGTCAGCTTTTCACTTTCTTGTAAATGTATTGGGCTGCTGATTCTCAGGAGGACCCTTTCACAACTTGAAAAGAGGTTGTAGCAAGGTGGAGGCTGGTCTCTTCTCCCAGGTAACAAGTAATAGGACAAGAGGAAGTGGCCTCATGTTGCACCAGAACAAGTTTAGATGGATATCAGAAAAAATTTCTTGACTGAAAGGGTGGTCCGGCATTGGAACACACACCCAGAGAAGTGTTAGAATCATCATCCTTGAAAGTGTTCAAAAATGTGTGGAAGTGGCTTGGGGACAAGGTTTAGTGGCCAAGATGGCAGTGTTAGGTTAATGGCTGGACACGATGATCTTAGAGATCTTTTCCAACCTTAATAATTCCGTGTTTCTGTCATTATCTTTTAGAAGGCAATACAGGCACTTAGAGAAACAGAAGGAATTTTTTTCTGAGTAGAGTATCTAATCGAAGTTTGGGTAGACAGTTGGGGCTGATTTTGAAAGAGGAACACTCAAATTTCTACAAGGTAAATTTTATAATAAGCTCTGCTGCTTAACTGACTAATAAAGCATTTCTAGGTCCTTTTTCAGTGAACTCTTTAGATTCACTAAAGAGATAGATACACTAAAGGAGAACACTTCACTGAATGAGCAGTCTTTCTATTGAGTGTTGCCTTCTGAAAAGTTTATTCTGAAAGCTGAAGTTCTCTGTGAAGGACAGAATCCTATAGTATCTTAAAGGACTGGATGTCAAATTTCAGAAAATGTTGAGCAGCTGTCAGAACAGATGTTGCTAGGTCTACAGGTACTCCAGGCTGTTCTTGTATCTAAGAAATGCTGTGATTCAGGGTAAAAATAGACTAAAATTGTTTTGGGTGTTGAAATCCTATGTTAAAAAGAAAACAACTACCATCTAAAACTCTAAGTATACTTTCCTTCTATGCACTTAATAGTTGATCAGGAAAGTAAGTCTAGTAATAGTCTACATACAAGTGAAGGTTATGTTTCCATGATTTCTGAACCCTTTAGGCAGTGAAAATGCTGATAAACTTAGGATACTAATATCCTTCCCATCAGGATGCACATGAATGTGTGAATTATTACAGTGCCGCAATAGTGACATGACTATTTTGAGAAGGTAAACTAAAGGGTTTCTGAGTATTGATACTTCAAGCTTCTTTGTTTCACAAAACATATGTCAAATGTATTATCAAATAGCTTTTCATTAATGCCTCGTGGTAAACTTTTATTAAATATACATGCAAATATCTGTTCTTACTCTTAAAAGTTAGCAATAACTTAAGGCAAACAGTTAATATTATTACCTGGATGTTTAAATCACTTGAAAATTGTCTCTCTTGATCTGAGCAGTATACCTATAAGAATGATTTGTTACTTTCTGTATATTAATGCAGGCCAGCTTTACTTTAACACAGAGCCCATCAGTTGGAATTCTGCCATCAACTCCAGGAGCAGGTAGATGTCCTGTCAGAATTTCTATTTTCTTTTCTTACTGCTTTCTTTAATACAGTAAAATCATTGTTGTTCAAGCTACATCAGTTCCTTGCTGATTTATGAAGAGTTTGTGTATTTGTTAGCTTTTCAAAAGATATATGGGTATGAGTAGGAAATAATGGTTCGTTCTGAAACTGGCTGAGTTTCAAGCAACTTTTTGTGTTCCTTGTTCCAAATGTGGTGTTGAACTGAGCATAGAGGTGGTTGTAATTGAATGAAGAAGCTGAGATCGATGGATTGCCTGCCACCTTCACAAGGTTTGATGTCTTGTGTATGAACTGGTAGCTTCTTTATTCTGTTGGCCTGTACCTATTTGGCAACTGCATTAAGCTGTTGGTGTTTCAAACTCAAAGAGAACACTAGGTTGCTAGTCATGAAAACTTGTTAGTGTGCTTGCAGATGTAAAGTTATGATAGCCTTACTTTTTCTATCTCTGAGTAAATCCCTATCAAACTCTTCCATGTACAAGGGAAATGCTTGACACTGAATTTATTCTTTTATTATAAACCTCTGTCTCGCAAAAGAAATCTGTTCAACAATACCATTTCAATTTAACAGCTTCAAGCGTGTTCAGTCCTGCAAGTATTGGGCAGCCTAAGAAGACTACTCTGTCTCCTGCTCAGCTAGATCCTTTCTATACTCAAGGTGATTCCCTTACTTCAGAAGATCAGCTTGATGACACATGGGTAACTGTATTTGGGTAAGTCGATTTCCAAAGTATCAGAAAAACCTGGGTGAAGTCTTTACAGCATAGGAGAAAAATACTTGGGCACTGATGTTGTCTGGCGTTGGTATGTGCTGCAGGAAATACAGCTATGGTTAAAGCAAGCAAAGACACACATTTCAATGAGGCATCTTAACTTAAGCTGCACATGATTTTTTCTAGTTAGAAAGGCACCATTCTGCTGTTGGGTTGTGTGGTAAAGTGCCTAGAAGGTGGCATTTCTCAAGTCACTACTTATGATGTCATTACAGTGGTCTTTTCTGGATTTCTATAAATGCTTCATAGGGTTGTATCTTAACACCTGAATTCTTAAATTATTCGTGATTTTTTGAGTAGTATTTCTGTCTTTCAGATTTCCTCAAGCATCAGCTTCCTATATTCTACTGCAGTTTGCTCAGTATGGAAACATATTAAAGCATGTGGTATGTCTTAGCTTGACACTTATGTCAGAAAACATTGTGAATTAAACATTTGAAAAGGTACATGTCAAAATTTTCACTTGATCTCATGAATGATCTCATTCAGATGTCCAACACAGGAAATTGGATGCACATTCGATATCAGTCTAAGCTTCAAGCCCGGAAAGCCTTAAGCAAAGATGGAAGAATTTTTGGTGAATCCATCATGATTGGTGTCAAGCCCTGTATAGATAAAGTAAGTCAATAGTTGCTTTTAGTCAAATATGAGGCACTGTCCTTTTGGTCTTTCTTTTTATTTTCCCTCACCTCTTTAATTTTTTTTTTCTTTTGCATTTGCAAATTGTAGGTAGTTCAACTACATAGATAGTCTGTTACACATTTACATATCTTTTTCTTAAGTATTTGCCAACATTTCCAGCTGAGAAGGATCATTATGGGCAATCTCTGTACTCCTTGGAAGTTACAATGCATAGAATTATATTGCTGTAAGAGGCAAGGAAGTGAAACCATAATATAAGAGAAGTTGAGATAAGTTTCCTGATTGGAATTTGTGGCATTTAGGGCCTGCAATGGATACCTAATGGCAGATTAAGACTGTTGCTGCTCCTAATTGTACCTTTCTATTTTTTACTGTGACCGTGTGCTTCTGGCTCTTGAATTATCTTAGTACTTTGGACTGAAAAATTGTTAGCAAGAAAATCCCAGTCCTGCTCTCCCACCTGCCCTTAGAAAAACATATACTCTCTTTTAAGTAGTAGCTGGGGGTAGACATGGCTCTCTTGTAGTCTTTATATTAACATGAGCTATTAGTGTCTAGGTATTGGCAATATCCTGACCTATAATTCTTGCAGCTCTTTGCACTGAGTACTGTACATTAGCTTAAGCAAATTGCAGTCATTCTTCTCTAGTGCACAGATGTATTTTTTTTGTCTCCTTTAAGGATACATTAAGAATAATGTAAGCTTTCCAATGTAAACCATTCTGAGAAGGCAGCCCTAGGAATTGAACTTTTTATATTTCTTACACTCAATAAAATGCAGAAATAAGTACTTCTGTGGCCCTTTTCTCTGTGGGCTTCTGCTGGTGGTCTGTCCATGCCTTTTTACTCTTTTGGTGTCCAGTTTGTATCAATGAAGGATACAAACTTCAGCCTGTAAGCTGAAGCTCTGGAAGTAATGATCTGAGACATAAAATTGCCAGGCATCTGATTTTCATTGCTTTTGAACTCTCATTGTGTCTTTTGTGGATAGTATTCGCTTTCATATGGCAATAAATAAATCCATAGTCATTCATTTGTATTTGGAGGCAAAAGATTTCAGGAGAAAATCCATTGAAGGATTGGTTTTGGTAAGACTTTCCTGCAATTGAAAACTAGATATGATGGATTTGACATCAGCTCTTAGGCTTCTGATTTAAATGTATTAGTTAGTTGCATGAGTTCCCCTTATGCTAAGCAAAGAGTCAACTGCCACCCACAGTGTACACCAATCCTATGTTTATTTTGGAAAGCACTCTTCTGCTGAATTTCTGCTGTCTTTAGGCTGGTAGAATCTTATGCTGCACTGAAATCACATCTCCCCAGGCTGGTTGTTATTCACCATCTTGTTTTCTCTGGTTTCTTGTGGAACTTGTGGTTCCCATCAAGTCACTTTGCTGCCTCTTGCATTCTACCTGCATTCCTTTCTAAACATGAGCTTATGAAACGGGGCCTTGAAGTTTATTGCAAGTCATACAATGTATTTTCTCTGCATTGTTTCGAACTTGGTTGACATTTAGTACAGACAGTGAACAGATTCCAACCTTCCACTACTTTGCAATGGCATAATCAACATGTAAATGATTGCAATGAGGATAATGCTTGATGGTCATGTGTACCTGTATGTTCTGTACTGACATGCCTTTTATCTTTTGGGATGCAAATGTTTTACCAAAAAAAAAATTAAATAGTTGATAATTTTAGATAATAATGGTTGGAATACTGCTTTTCTGTATTTATTCACATTCTATTAACCCTCTATTTAAGAGTTTGATGGATAACTTTGAAAGAAGCTCTGCATCTTCAGTGTCTTCGATTTTCACTCCACCTACAAAATCTGTTGGCACACCAGTACAACCTGCAAATAATACTACGAGGATTTCTACAATGAGACCTCTTGCAACAGCATATAAGGCTTCGACTAGTGACTATCAGGTATTTTGAGGGAAGCAGAATCATGTGTTTTTGTGTTGTCTCCCCTTAGCTCTATGAGGCTGTACAGATACTAACTTCAATGTGACCTTAGCTTTTATCTTTTGCTGTCAGTTCTTTAACGATGTGGTTCAAATACAAGCTCTGTCTGTTCAGTCTCTAAAATAATAATAAAAAATACTAAATTAATGACTTGCCACTTTTCCAGGGATTAAGGGCTTGTTTTGAAAATATTTCAAACACTTTTTGTCAAAATATAGTAGCTCTTAGGAGAAGAAAAAATAAATGGTTAGTGTAAAAAAGATGAACTACATGTTGACTGATTCTCTCTATTTTCTTTTTGTTTTTCTCCCTGCCTTCTAGGTGGTTTCTGACAGACAAACTCCTCGGAAAGATGAAAGTATTGTATCTAAAGCAATGGAATATGTTTTTGGCTGGTAATATACAAGAGGAAGTAACACACTAAGCTGGTCATGGTTTGAACTTTACTACTGGCATTTGTAGTTAGTTGTATAACTACTGGTGGCAGTATTTCATCTTACATAGCACCTGTTATGCCTTCAATTCATTCAGAAGACATGTAGCTTGCACTTTAAATGATGCAGTGTACACACGATTTTACAAACTGAGTAAGTGTAAATAAAAGTGCTTTATCCCTATTTGTGCTCTGATGGCATGATTGTGAAATTTCTCATTTTTTATGCTATGGAGAAGAGACTTGTTTCCCTATAATACACAAAGATTATGGGGTGGGTAAATGTTTTAACTGTAGATATGAGCAGTGGCATTGGTGCTAGAGTAAGCAGATATTGAAATGGCTGTGATTTTATAAGTTTAAATAAAGAAGAGATTAAAATATCTGCTGCTCCCCAGGGAAAAAGAGAAACTTCTGTTTTCAAAGATGAAGAAAGCTTTTGTTTGAACTGTTAAAATCCTTAAAGTGTGCCCCATAAGTTGATATAGTCCTCAATAATGATTGTAGAAAAACTTAATTGAGAAAGGGATTTTTACACAGTGATCAGATTTCTGTTCTCCCAGGCAGCTGATTTCTTGTGGCCTCGATGTTAATAGCAAACTGTTTCTTGTGGAGAAGTCTCCATAGACTGAAGAGAGAAATCTCCTCTCCCAAGTGAATTGGTGAAAAAGCTTTTTTTTTTAAAAATGGTAAACTGACTAATTGGCTTTGTGTACGTTGTCAGTGTAAAAGAAAAGAAGTTGTAGGAGGAGGAGGAGTGTTCTAAAAGTCTTATTCTGAATTTTATTTTTTTTTTTCTTATAGTTTTTAGTAATAAAGTTTCTCTTTGTACCTCTTAAAAGTGAGCCTGTTTTGCCTTCCTCTTAATCCTATCTCACAGCAGGAAATGAGTGAATAATTCTATTGGGTGCACTGGTGATTTGGCCAGTGTTAAAGCCATGACATAAATTGGTGCATTGGCCAGGAAATTTCAAATTGGCAAACCAAAATCTCTACAGTAGGTTTAGATGGGATATTGGGAAACTCATGTTCCTATTCTATGAGCTACAAAATCTTAACTTTAACCAGCTGATATTTTCACATTAGATGAAAATCCAGAGGGGGGAAAGTAAAAATGGATTAGTCCAGTTCTTCCAATTCTAATGGGAGGTGTCCTGCCCATACCCAGGCAACTGGAACTACAGGATCTTTAAAATACCTTCCAACACAAACTGCTCTGGGATTCTGTGAACTACAATGGTATTCAAGTTCTCAGCTGCTGAGTAAACATCACAGCATCAAAGGAGTTTTAGGACTCCATCTTAGCCTTATATAGTCACCATACCAACTTATCCAATCCCTCAGTCACTGCAGACTGGAATTGGTTCCTTGTCCCAACATTAGTGGCCCAAAGGCAGCAGAATAGGCACTGACAGAGTCAGAGGAGCTCTTTCTTGCTGGAGAAAACAACATATTTAAATTGAAAAAGGGTAGATTTAGGTTAGATGCTCTTGTAAGAACCTTCCAGGACTCGCCACTGTGCATGGAATACTTTTCATGCTTGTTCTGAAGAGTCTTTGGACAATAGAGCACGACCTGGCTCTGACTTGAGGGTCAGCAAACCCCAAACTCAGGTGGAGGAAGAAGAAGCAGCTGTTTTGCAGCCATGCCCAAGACAGACTGGAAGGGTCTCCTCCAGCTGGTCTCACTTTGTTTGGTTTCTGGCTGTGTATGAGGCAGGAGCTGTGATTCCTCAGTTGTGGAGACCAGAACTACACCCAGGATCCCAGCACTGCCTGACAAACCTCAGTACTGTGGGATGGTCACATGTCTGAGCCTCACCCCTCTGCTGCTGCTTCATTTGCTTCCTTTTTAGTACACCCAAAGCTCACTGTAAATCACGCTGGTCTCTGGTTCTGCCCTCTTCCTTTGAGGGGAAACACCACTGTTGTGCTTTCAGGAAGCTATTCTTGAACAACTTCCAGTATTCCAAGCTCCTTTGCCCTCAGTGGATGCTTGCCATGGAATCCCTCTCAGCTGGATTCAGAAAATACTGAAGTGGGCTCTTCTGAAATCCAGGGGTTTTGTCCTACTGCTGACCTTCAGTGTACTCAGCAAGACCTTTAACTCCACAATGTTGTGAAACCAGACCTTAAGGGCAGGGACATTTCCAGCCTGATCTGCCCATGTTCCTCTCTGCACAAAACGCAGCACAGAAAAGAATGGCAGGACAGGGCCTGTGTACTCCAGGGCTCGGGTTTTGCTCCACTTCAGCTCCACAAAGATACAAATAATGTGAAGAAGCTGAAATGTTTATTAATGGAAAGCAAAGCAGAGGGATGAGCTGGGAACAGGAGAAGGGAACAAGAGAAGGGAACAGGAAGGGTCTGAGGGCTGCAGGGATGAAGCAGTAAAGAGGGAAGGAGAGGCCAGGAACCTCCTGAGCTTCCAGGAAAGCTCAGGTGTCCCCAGCATCATCTGGCCCTGGAGCTACAGCTGGTCTCTGGTCTCCAGGTGCTCTCCTCCTGCATGGGATTTGGTACTGTCCTGGTTGTTTCGATCCAGAAGACGAATTTAGTGATGTAGCTCTTTCATCAAACATGACTTGAACTATCAGGTTTGTGTTGGAGGGGCTGTCATCTGTGTTGAGGGCTTGAAGGGCTGAAACAGAGAACAGACCCACGGTCAGAGTGAGGAAAGCCCCTGAAAGGACCAGCCCACTTAGCTCTTGCCATGACCTGGAGGAAGCAGGAGACAGCAAGGATGAGCGGGAAGGTGCTGCCCATGAATCTCCCTCCCACAGGCCCCTGAAAGGTCTCTGTGCTCTGCCCACGCTGCCCGTCGTGTGCGCAGGCAGCAGAGCCCTCCCAGCCGGGGCGGGGAACGCAGCTGCCAGCGCCAGCTTCCACTGAAACCTCGCTGGCCTCACTCACCCTCACAGATGAGCTGCAGCTCTTCTGGCTGCCCCTTCATGAGCAGCCCAGCGATCCCTAGGAACACAAAGCCTGTCATTGCCCTGGCCCAGATCCGGCTGCAATGGGGCAAGGAGGGACCAAGACCCTGTGCTTGCAGCTCACCGATGGACCTGACGGCGGCCTCTCGCAGGGACTCCTGTGGGCTCTCCAGGTACGGCAGAGCCCGCTGCAGGTGCTCGGCCGCACGACTCCTGTCCTCTGCCAGCTGGAGAGAGCGGCACGGCACGGAGGGAAGGGTTGGCGCGGGCTCTGTCCCTTGGCCCCCGGCCTCGCCTGCCCGCACAGCCCTGAGCGGGGCAGAGGGCCCGGCAAGCCGCGGTGCTGCCCCGCAGCAGAGCCCGG